GGTGGAGAACATGACTCGGGAATACCAAGTCATAGTAGGGTGCGATTTGTTAGGTCAGGTAGGGGCGAGCATTAGAAATCGTAGAGGAGTCTGGAGCGTTAGGTTAGGAAAGAGGAAGTTCGGATGTATAGGGGTCGCGAGAGAAAGAAGGGTGCGGATAGGAGCGGTGGACAGAGTGGAGGACTGGAGGAAGTTGCTACAAGAGGAGTTTAGGGATATCTTCTTCAGGGAAGGTGAGGTATTAGGAGTAACAGGGAGGACGGTGCACGAAATCCCACTGAAACAGGAGAGGGTAACTTACGTGAAAGAGAGAAGATACCCGCAGGCGTTGAGACAGCATATTCGGGAGGAGCTAGATAGTCTAAAAGAACAGGGAATCATAGTTGATAGCACCTCACCATTCAATAGTCCCCTGTGGGCGGTGAAAAAGAAGGCAGCGCCGGGGGATAATAAGGAAAAATACAGGGTGGTAGTAGACTATCGTAAATTGAACGATAACACGGTAGACGAGAAGTACCCGATCCCGAGATTCGAGGATATACTCGATAGGTTGAGTGGGGCCGTGGTCTTTAGCACGCTGGACCTCAAGGCGGGATACCACCAAATACGGATGCACCCGGAAGACCAACACAAAACAGCGTTCACATTTGAAAGGGGGCATTATGAATTCACCAGGATGCCGTTTGGTCTGAAGAATGCGCCCATAACATTTCAGCGTCTGATGGACGAATTTTTGAGGGGCATCGATGACTCGGTATGCCAGGTATACATGGATGACCTGCTGATTTTTAGCAGAACGGAAACCGAGCACGTGGGACATCTGAGGGCAGTATTCGAAAGGCTCCGGCAATTCGGGCTGAAATTGTCAAGCGAGAAGTCTCTGCTGGGACAAACGCGGATCAATTTTTTAGGCCACACTATCTCTAGCGAGGGGGTCAGACCGGATGCGGCAAAGGTGGAGGCAATCACGCGGATGGCGGTACCACGGGACGTCAAGGGGATTCGTAGGCTTCTCGGGACGCTGAATTATTACCGGAGATTCGTACCCGAGATGGCAGAGTATTTGGTACCCATTAACAATTTGTTGAAGAAAGGCGCGAAGATTGTGGTGACACCAGAGATGGAGAATAACATTCGAAAATGTATGAATAGGTTGCTGACGGAGCCGGTGTTAGCGTTTCCGGATTTCGAGAAGCTTTTTAATATAACCACTGATGCGAGTGAATACGCGCTAGGGGCCGTTTTGTCCCAGGGGGGGAGTGAGGGTGAACGACCGATAGCATACGCGAGCCGTCGGCTTACGGGTGCGGAATCAAGGTACAGCGCTTTGGAGAGGGAGCTACTCGCGATAGTATGGGCTATCGACCATTTCAGGCCATACGTATTCGGGAGAAAATTTCGAGTCCATACCGACCACAAACCCCTCCAGTGGGTAGGAAAACTCAAGGAAACCTCAGCTAGGGTCACAAGATGGAAGGAGATCCTAAGCCAATACAACATAGAGGTGGTGTATAAGCCGGGAAAGGAAAACGTGGTGGCAGACTGGCTCTCGAGGGCCATCATGATCAACGCGGTTGAAGAGGACAGGGGAGGACCATCGCAGGACGTGCGCCAATTCTTGAGGGAATGGACTCCCGATGGCGAAGGGGCAAATGACACCGCAGGGATTGAGGACAGGGGAGATTCCCCAGAAGAGGAGAGCTCAGCGGAAGAAAGGGCAGCGGAGATGGAAGAAATAGAGGAGATCGTGAACGACAAACACCGTCAGGTGATTTGGAAGACACGAACAACCGGAATCATGAAGATCGATTTCAGAAGGTACGGGAGAAGTAGGATCCGCGTCATTTGGTCGCAGCCCGGGGTCAGCGAAGAACAAATCTGTACGGCACTGAGGGATGCCTCGGAAGCGGGTAAAACGCACTACCTATACGTAGGAAACAATACGGTATGGGATAAGATCAAGCGAATGTGGAGGTCCGAGCGAATAGGCGTGGACAGGACATTCATCCGGTGCAAGTATGCTGTGGAGACGGTACAGGACGAAGAGCAGCAGCAAGCAATCACAGTAGCATATCACCAGGGGAAAACCAATCACCGAGGCGTTAATGAGACGCTGCAGGCATTGCGTCGGAAGTATTTCTGGTGGGGCATGAAGAGGTCCATCCAGGAAGTCATTGGGAAATGCGAGATATGCATGCGCACAAAATACGATCGACACCCCCCCAGAGGAGTTCAGGAGGAGACACCTACAGGGAATATGCCGCTACAGGACCTTCAGATTGACACGTTTACCTGGAAAGGGTTTAAGTGGGTCACGGTAATCGACATATTCAGCAAGGTGGCGATGGCATACCAAGTGATGGAGAAGTCAGCCAATGCAGTTGCGGAAGCCCTACAAACCTGGGTGCAGTTCTATGGGGTCCCCGAGAGGATTACTTCGGACGGTGGTAGGGAGTTCGACAATGCCGCGATTAGGGAGGAGGTGAAGCGATTGGAAATTGCGTGGCATTATAACACCCCAGGACATCCTAAAGGTAGAGGCGGTATTGAACGGCTGCACAGTACGTTAAGCGACCACGTCCGTGTATATCAGGGTGAAAAAGGGTTGGAGCCGGATGTGGCAATGAGGAAAGCGGTAACAGCCTATAACCACTCGATCCACTCCGTAACGGGGTTTTCACCCATGGAAGTTCTATTCGGGATGCGCAGGCCAAGGCGGGATTATGGGGAAACTACGCTTACCGAACCGTTAGTGGATCAAATTCTCAGCAATAGGGTAGAGGTAGAGAAAACATGGGGAAAGATAACGGCGAGAATTAAGCGGGAAAAGCAGAAGCGGGTGGAAAGGCAGAATGTACAGGTTCGCGACCAAATGGGGGAACTAAAAATAGGAACAATAGTTTACCGGAAATTGGGAACCAACAGAGGGAAACAATTGCTACGGTACGAGGGTCCATTCAGAGTGGTTGTTATTAGGGAGCATAACCTGGTAACTATTGAGAGCGTGAATGAGCCCAGAAAGAGGAGAACCGTTCATATCGAACAATTAAAGCTCCCAATGATAGAGTCGGGACATAGACCTACGGATTCGTAGTACCCTCACCGCTGTATATAAAACAGAGAAATATGTTTTTTTGTGGCTGTCAAAACAAAACAAGTTGTAAAAGATTTTTTTTTTGTTGTATTATTTCATGTATAGAGGAAATTGTGTTTTTTTTTGTTGTTGTTAGGAGTTCTCAAGTGGTAGGAGTTCTAAAGTGCTGTGTTTAGTTTCAGTGTTTTTAATTATTTCTTCTTTATTTATTATTTTTCCAGTTGAGTGGAACTATTTTATTTTCTTTTAAGGATATACTGTAAAACCAATTGTAAAGTGTTAAGGCTGGTCACCGTGGGCTCCGATCTAGCAATATTTAAGTTTCCGAAAATCCTGTTCGTAAACTGGTGGGGGGGAGATAAAGACCGGAGACTGGCGGTATCAGCCTTAATACTATCTGGTAATGTAAATAAACAGGCTAAGTGTATATAAGGAGGCTTATGGAACGAATAAAGCAGTGTTATTTCAGAAGTCGTGTATGTTACATCTTTTCCCTTTTCCTTCTTTTTTTTTATTTCTTAAGTCCGACGACGCTTAACTTATATATATATATACATATTCAGGGCATTTTTCGTTGCCATTGGTAACACTTCAAAGATAAATTTATTTAGAACCTCGGCTCTAGTGCTCTCCTTCAGCCTCCACTGGCTTTTATTACTAGTGATGCGGCTGGAAAAGTGGCACTGAGATCTCTGGACTCCTGCTATGCCTTCTACATGTGGGGAGAAAAGCCTGGCTCGGAGATTCCTGGGCGAATGTATATATTGTATATAGGTTTGAATGTGTTTAGAAGTTTTTATTTTATTTTGTTTGTTTATTTATTTATTTTTTTAATATTATTATTTTTTTTTCTTACTGATATTTCATCATTAGCCTTTGATATTTATTGAGTATTTTTTTTTTTGGCATTACAGACTATGTAGATATTTAAGAAGCCTGCTCCACCTCTGCCTGTATAGGGCTATTTCTATCCATTAGCACGCAGCTCTGTTGCATCTTTGTTGATTATATCTATCTATCACCTTTTTCGGCCTTACACGTGGTCTTTTGCCTTCTATTGAGGTATTCATTGTTACGTAGAGGCTTCCAGATGGATTGCTACGAGCTACATTCCCCGCCTCTTAACCTCGGTGACTTCACATCTTGGGATATTGATTGACCAGTTTCTGTAAACAGTTCTTTATTGGTCTTTCTTCTCCATGTGTTAGTACTCTGATCCCAGATCGCTCCGATTATAGTGCGGAGGATTTACCTCTCAAATCTTTCAACACTTTTTTCTAGGGTGTTGGTTACTGTCCAGATCTCACAGCCATATATTAGAACCGCCTTTATCATAGCATTGTACCCCTTTAGTTTGAGATTTCTCGAGATTTCAATACCTTTGAGAGGGAGAAGAAAGCTCTGTTTGAGCTAGTTATACGCTTATATATTTCAGCCCGTTGGTCATTCATTGAGGTTATTATCATATATTTCGTTTTGTCTTCATTTATTGAGTACTATAGATACAAATTAATTGATTAAATACCTCATTATGTATTAAACTAAATCAGAAAGATTGTCATACTTTACTTTTTAAATAGTGATCTTTCCTGACCGATCATCTAATGATGGTAAAATTTATTATGATGACAAATACTGCTAATAATTTTCTTGTGTATACTCCTGACACTCCTGGTGATAACGGTTGTCTGACTAGACTAAAGGACTCACAACTTTAGGGCATACATCAAAGTCATGAAACCTCGGAACTAATTAATGATATGCTGCGTGGAATTATAAATATGCTGTTTGTCTCAACTTTCGTTTTTAGATATATTTCTGTTTAATAATAAATGTAGATATCTGTGTTTTTTTTTACTTCTATTTCGAAGATATCATTTAGTTGAGTTGCATTTCCACAGGTGAAATGATCGTCCGAACCCCCAAGTACCAAATGGAAGACGACGTTCAATCGCTGTACAGTTCAGTGATGCGGCTCACCATCAGGGACATCCACAGGTCGGACCTCGGTGGGTACAAGTGCATATCCAAGAACTCTATAGGAGATGCGGAAGGTACCATCAGGTTGTACGGTAAGCCGATCTTACATCAAACCTCATTTAATTAAACTGGATAATTAACTTAATAGTTTATTAATAATTTAATAAGATAATAATTTGTATGCTACCTTAATTTATTACAAAAAAATATTTAATGAAGGTATTAGGAAAATTCAAGTAATCGATAGAAAAGTAAAAGAAATATACATATACACATATATTGATAGATAAATTATCAGACCCTGAATTTTTTTTGTTTCTCTCTTACAAGGTTTCCCGTAAATAATATTAAATACATAAATAGGTTGTAGCAGGATGATCAAGTTTTTTTTTTCTTAAGTAAGTCTAGATTTTTGTTAAATAATAAGCAATAAATGAAATTTAGAATTATATAAGAATTGAATTACATTTTTGAGTGCTCAATCGTTGACAGTATATTTCATGGTACAAGACCCATTTTTATCGAATTATTAACATCCACCTGAAACTTCGTAAATAGTTTCATCTCATCGTAACCTACAACTATTTTATTTACGAAAACTCTTTCGAATTGGGGAGTTTTCAATCTGGAAGGGAGCAAACTTTGTCTATTTAATTACTTACTAAAAACTCGTAAATAACCATTTGCTTTCTACCTATAGTTTTTCGTATATAACCTCATTATTTCGAAAATTTGGAGGGGTGGTGTAGGTCACGCGAAACGGCTTAATATTTTTGTTTTAAGGCCATATTTTTCCTTCAATGTAAATAGTTTTAGGTTACGATGAGATGAAACTATTTACGAAGTTTCAGGCGAATGGTAACAATTCGATAAAAAAGGACCTCTATCACGGACTAGTAGTTTGATGTAGAGGAAAGAGATGGTCGGGTAGGATATAATATAAACCTAATATAGTGTAAAACTATATTATTTTAAGCAAAAGTTTCGACCCTGATAGGTCATCATCGGGGTTAGAACGAATAAGGATTTTGGCAGTGTCACGCTAAAATACATTCCGACCTCAAGTCAGTTTTTATCATTCTTTGTACTTTCTTTACATTCCCGCAATTTTCATTATTTATATATATATATATATATATATATATATATATATATATATATATATATATATATATATATATATATATATATATATATATATATATATATATGATTATCGCTTTCGATCAAAAACAAAACAAACAGATGGTCCGCGATGGCGGTCATAACAAACTTAAAATAGTGAAAAAGTATTCCATTTTAAGCCAATATTTTCACCAATATATAGGTCTTCATCAGTGCTAGAATTAACAAGATACAAAAGGATCTTGTATCTTGTATCTTGTTAATTCTAGCACTGATGAAGACCTATATATTGGTCAAAATATTGGCTTAAAATGGAATAATTTTTCACTATTTTAAGTTTGTTGTGACCGCCATCGCGGACCATCTGTTTGTTTTGTTTTTGATCGAAAGCGATAATCATATCCTCATCATCATTTTATAACAAAATTTTTATAAAGAGCAATAATAATAATTCTTGAGTAATACTTTTTTAAATCAGAAAAATAATTTTTTTGTAATCTCTACGATATATTTTGCGTCTGAAGTAGTGCTAATATCATCAAATTTATTAACATTACATTAGTAACACCTTTACTTCCGAAATTCATTAAAAATTTTATCTTACAAAAAAAAGTGGATATATATACATTATTAAACTATTTAACAGATTTCAGATCTATGGTATTAAATAATGTGTACATTAATAACGTATATATAAATATATATATATATATATAGAGAGAGAGAGAGAGAGGGGGAGAGAGAGAATAGAAGAATCAACTTTATTCTGGGACAAAGTCCCTTAAGAATAACAATTTTGTACATAAAAATTAACATTCCATCTGGCCAAAATACATATTACAATAAAAAAAATAACTAAAAACTAAGTGATAGCAGAAGTATTTACCTTATTACATTTACATTACAGAACGTGACTAGACATATTTTCCATGCTCAAAAAAGAATATATATTTATATACAAATGATAAATAGAGAAAATGCAATTTTGTTACATGATACATGGCTACCCAGCGTCTGATTGAAGTGTAAGGAGGAATTGGTATAGGAGGGTTATAAATATGGATAGGGATGGTGCATGGCGCATTTTAACTGGGATGGAATTTCAAAAGTTAGTGGAGCGGACAATAATGGAGTGTTGAAAGGAGGCAGATTTGTGGAAAGAGGTATAAAGGTCAGAAGGATCTTGTGGAGATGGAGTGGATAGATGACTTGAATTGAAGGAGATTGAATGCGTAGGACGGACGATGATTATGGATTATTCGGTAAAGGAATGTACCTAGGAAATATTGTCTTCTGAAGGAGGGGAAGAGCCACCCTAACTCGGTGTAGTAGTGAGATACACGAATATATATCATAATATTTTAGTTAATTTGTGTGTAAAAGATGTGTTTATTATTTTATCACAGTTTAGTCATTATTATTTATGTGAAACCATATCACTCAGCGAGTGATCATTATTTTTAATCTAATGATTTTTAATTTAACATAATTAAATGTAATAATTATGACATGATATTGTGAGAAAAAAAATTATCGATTTCAAACCCTAGTAAGTCAAGCCAATTGAGAACTCATATAATCTAAATTTTAATTACTCTTAAACTTAATACATTTGTGCTACCCATTTCAAATGATCATTTGTTTTCATAAAGAACATGGCTTCATGGGTTTCTATTGAACTTCAGGAGCAAGAAATTAGTTATGTAGTAGTCGCAATAATTTAGTTTAAAATAAAACGAAGATTATATTTGGCATGATTTGTATTACATTTGTACTCAAATCAATCTATAGTTTAAAGCCTGCGTTCATTATTGCTCAATTTACGACTAAATATAGTTTGTTTAAAAAGAAACATCATTTTATAATTTGAAGCATCGTCGGTAAAAGATAAAGATATAAGTAACGTCTTGCCTATATTAATATCTTGCATAGTAAAAAAATAATGAAGGAATAAAATAAATAGAGTAATAAATAATTAAATGACGAAGAGATGAATTCTAATATAAATAAGGGCAGGTACCAATGAGACATAAAATCAACAAGATGTTATAAGATGATGAAATAATAAGTTCAATAGATATAAAATAAATATGGAATTATGATGAGTATAGAATAATAATGAGGTTAAGCTGATAATAAAACATGAAGTATTTGAATTTCATAAACGAGTAAGTAAAAAATAATGAGATTAAATGATGTCGCTAGAAAAATTGTTATAGAGAGGAATATCTTTTTTTGGAAGGTGGAGGGGAAAGACTTCTAATGGCTGTAATCTGCAATCAACTTCTCTTATTTGAATCTACAATCGATCATTTGTCCACCATTATACAGGATCATCAATTAAAGTTGAAAAAAAAAATCACTTAAAAATCTATTATTAGAAAAAGCAACAGCTTTCTAGTTTATATTCCTAAGAAGCGGCCCCTTGAAGCGATAGCTCTTAAAAGGCTTTTAATAACGACCCCCTTTCTATTAGCTAGCGAATGGCCGATGGGGACTTATATAAATTCCTTTTTAAACGACAGGGAGGGCGAGGGGCCCAAAAAAATAAATATGGCCCCGCTGGTGATGGGGCGCTAAAGTTTTCGAATTCCAGGGCCACTTTGAAGGCAGTTAGGTTTTATGAGGATTGGCGGAGTTTAATGTCAGAAGAAAAAAAAAAATGGAACTGAGAGGACGTTAAAGAGCCCTGTTTTTATGATGGCTCGCCCTGCACGCGACACCAGATCTCCCACTACCTTTCTTAACGCGTCTTCTCAACTACTACTCTTTATTATTATTTTTGGGGTTAGGGGAGGCGCTCCCCTTCCTCGCCGTTAAGGCTATACGTGGTTTTCCCAGGGATTTAAAAGACTCCCTCGGCACCGGGACGCGAACTCGTGATAATTTTTTTATCATTTGAGTCATATATCAGGTTGCCGGGCAACGGTGGTGCTGTGCACACACTTTACCCCATTCAGCCACTCCTCCCACGAACTACTCTCTTATAAGAAGGTAGATATATTTATTTTCTTATAAATATACTTACTCACTCTTAAATATACTTGTATGTCTATAAATATACTAATTTATCTCAAAAAATGTTGACAAACATATACTTTAATAATATTATAATTTTGATTAAAGATTGAATATTGTTATTAAGAAGACTCAGATGGCTGGGTCATGTTGGATATAAGTAGACTTCCATAAAATGATGCTTAATGGTACTCCAGAAGAAAAAAGACAATGAGGAAAACTCAGGCACCGATGTCTGGATGATCTGGAGGAAGAATTGAGGAGGCTGGGGATCAGAAAGTGGAGGAATCTTTCAGTGGACAGCGAGGAATGGAGGAGAGTGGTGGCAGAGGCCCAGGTCCTAAAATGGCTGTAGCACCCATTGAAGAAGAAGATTCAAAAGAAAATTTCAACCAAACATCTAATCTAATAAACCATGTTAAGTTTAAAACTTGGAAAAATAGTCAGACAATACGCTCTATTTCTATGAGTACTATACATACAGAGTTCTCTTCAGTATTATGCGAATAATACATGTCTCGTAATGTACACAATGAAAGACATGTTGCCGAGTGCTTTGTCTTGAGAGTTTCACAAAACATTCAATATTATAAATGGCCTCCTTAGGCAAGAAGCTTATTTTACACCTCTACTTTTCAATATTGCACTTAAAGCAGTCATGGAAAAGTCGTAATAATCGGAAGGTTGTCTAGGGGTAGAGGGTGTCGAGAAAATGACTATAGCTAAGTTTCATTTAAATCGGTATATTCGGTGAGGCGCTACAGTCTATAGCAACGCAATTTTTATTTTTATTTTCTTCTCTATTAACTTATCAAATTCTTTCAAAAGTTATATTTAGCATTTTTTCGTAATTCTGAATAATAGGAAATGATTAACTTTTTTAAATAAACCATATTAAAGGTACTTCAAAGGTAGACGTATATGAACATTGGGCATTTAAGTCCTGTAAAGTGACATCAATGGGGATAAGACCTAACTGATATT